TCAAGGGCTGTTCTTTGATATAAAAATAGTCACAATTAGTTGAAAATTGGATATGTAGTGGTGTGTTGAAGTTGGGGTATTTGTTGGGGGGGGGGGGGGCGGCGGGGTTTGGATTTCGTTATCCATCCACCCTAACCATTGTACACAACAGTTTGAGACTTTGAGTGGACTTCCCTTTGGCAAAATATCTAACAATTGAACAAATATTGGATCAGACCCAGCTCAAACTTAAACGTCGAAACAAAAAGTACGGGTGAGTTATGATTATTAACTATCAGTTTTGGATCTCAAGTGACACTTGTCAGATTTCCACTTGAAAACTGAAGTATGGCAAAACCATTCGAGCCATTCCACTGTGGTAGAACCAATATCTTGAGACTCGATTTCGATATCTCATTTAGGGTTAGGTATGGTTCATCCGTGAATGTCAGCTCCTTAGGTTACACGAGTAGATGATACGTTTTTTGCCAGAGGTTATAACAGCATTTCGTCTCTTTTTTCAAGAGCTGGACTATTCAAATTGAGACTTCAAATAATAGACAAAATTCAATTCTTATTGTTTGTCGGGAGCAAACGATTAAGTATCAATTTGCACGGATCTCGGATCCCGTGCATCCGGCCTATACATAGGGAAAAAAAAGATACCATAATTGATCACCCCGATAAATTCTACAATTAAATTATGAGAGTTCATAGTAATAAACAAAGTTTTGAATATCTTCAGTTATGATATACTTAAATTTTTGATTCTTTGAATTGAAATGGAATAATTGGATTGTTGAACGGGTTTCGCAAGTGGTCAATTCCAGTTGATTTTTCTCCTGTGAATAGCCGGCATATTCTTTCGCTCCACAAGAAATTAGTCCTTGAGTCAACGTACACAATTTCGATCTAAATATACAGTATTTCATATGTCCATATTTCTTCCACACTCTTATTAAAGAAACTCTAATCATAATTTCTATTCTTCGAGATGGAAAATCTCTCTTCCCGATGTCTTCAAAACGTCTCGTCAGAAGAAATCCGAAATTTCATGGGTACGGTATTTGGAAATCCTTGGTCTGAAGATAATCCAGATGGTATCTTTCCTATGGGCATTGCAGAGAATAGACTCATGTATGTTTGATCCTATATTTGAAATCGGTTCTCCATCCTAGCTGTGTGATTGACAGTTATGGAAATTTAGGCACGACGAAATCGCAAACTATATAAACTCGAATTTCCGGGCAACCCCAAAAAGTACCTTGTTGCATTTCCTCTTTCTATATCATCCGAAAATAAGCAAGTTCTAACAAAATACAGTGCTCACATATGGAGATGGACCAACCGGTTCTTTTGAATTACGTGCTGCTCTCGCCACATTCTGGAACTCAAATTTCTCACCAAAGGAATCTGTATCCAGGGACCATGTAACAGTTATGGGAGGAGGCTCTTCTATTCTTGATGCATTAAGCTATTGTATCGCCGAAGAAAATGAAGGGATTTTAGTTGCTCAACCTTTTTATGTTGGATTTGTTGGGGATTTTGAAGATCGTGCTAGGTGTGTTTTGTCTATGATCCTATCTACTGAAGTATTTATGCTCACTCGATGTAAAGAGTCAAAGTGGTTCCAGTACCGATCGGTGCACTCGAAGATGTGACTACCATGGCTGGAGTCGAGAAACATGAAGAAGCACTCATTGCCTCGAGAGAGAAAGGTGTAAAGATTCGAGGACTCATGCTCTGTAATCCTCACAATCCTCTTGGAAGATGCTATGCACCAGAAGTCTTGGAAGCATATCTTTCTCTCTGCTCGAAATACAATATTCACCTTATAAGTGATGAAGTATATGCGATGGCTGTTTTTCCAAATCAGGATATACCAAATCCAATGTCTTTTACCTCGATACTTTCAATAGATATTGGGAAGTTCTGTGATCCGGCCTTGGTTTGTGTGATCTATGGTATGAGTAAGGTATGTATTGACTTTGAATCTAGGCAACTACGAAGATTCCAATGCTGATATATGTTGTCATAGGACTTCTGCTCGAATGGCCTACGTATTGGATGTATCATCTCACAACATAATCCCACTCTCCATCGTACTCTAGGAGCAATATCAAAATTCGCTTGGGCATCTTCATTGTCTGATCACGCATGGACATTAATGCTGAATGATCAAAAGTTCCTAAATTATTATTTCTCAAATCTTGCTCAAAAAATGAGAGATGCGTATGAGCTCTGTACCAGGCGATTGAAAGAATTTGGTATTTCGTATATTCCTGCGTAAGCACACATTTCCTTTTCAACTTTCATCACGGGAGAGAGAGACTAATGAAAATTACGAAATACAGATCTTGCGGTCCTTTCATTTGGATAGATCTCCGTTCATATCTTACAATCCCGACAATCGAGGCAGAACGTATACTCTCGTGGAAGATGTTGAAACATGGGATTTGGTTAGCTACAGGTGAAGCCTTTGCATCTGAAGAGCCGGGTTGGTATCGTATTACTTTTGCCATGGACGAGAAAGATTTGAGGTTTGGTATGGATAGGTGAGTTGCTACTCTTTCCTTGGAAATTAGTTGTGATGAGAATTGGATTAACAATTGGGATTCTGTGCTAATTCATTACTCGTAATTTAGATTATTGAAAGTCTTGAGTATTGTGGAAGAAGGTAAGACACAATCTTTATTAGAAACACAAAACTGAAGTAGAGTCGTTGGCAAGAGTAGATCAACATGTAGATCGAGATATTGAACAGGAATACCCAGGATTTTCTAAATCTTCCCATCTTATTTCAAGAGAACAACCCATCTCGCATTCGCTGTACAATAAATAGAACATTAGAATACGCTTGCTTCGGTTTACTCTTGATAAGAGAAAACTCCATGATCGTTAGAAATCTGAGGAATGTGCAAAATAGATAAAGATGATACATAAATGTTAGATACAGGCACGAAAGACTACCAAAGACACGTAAGGAATATGATGATATCTACAAACAGCTGCTTTTTTTGAGCTGCTTCACTTCACTTATATCCTGTGATATCGGTGATATCTAACCCCACCAACCCCACTCAAATGCTAGATCTCATTTCCACTTGCAAATATGATCATTATAATAAAAATGCGATCATGCTACAACAAACAACGCCCGTTTGGCTTAGCGGTAAAGCGCATCACTAGTAATGATGAGATCCTAGGTTCGATTCCTAGAACGGGCAAATAACCATAAATTTTCAAGACTTCTTTTGCTTTTTTTTGCCTTGGACACCATCGATTCTATCAAGGGCTGAGTCAGGCACAGGCACAAACATCAAACCTGATAAAAAGAAATATTCTTTTTGATCACAATGCTCTTCAGCCAATAAGCAGAATCAGATCATCTTGAAAAATGGTGGATCCAACTCGATATTTGATTTGTTTACAGAATTTGTGCATATTGATTGATTAGGTGGGGTAGACGCACCAGCCCGAGCCCCTGACGATTCGCTACACCTGCCGCTATGCCCCGCTTATATTTTACACCACACAAACACAACATTTGAAGAAATTTAGTGTTCGTTCTAGATTCTCCACATGCATATGGTTGTTTGACCTATCATACACATTGCTTGTATTCACTGATCTCATTCAATGTCTTCTTGCGCTCTCTCACAGATCAAAAGTCGAAAAAATAACCTCCTGGACAAGAAATCTGGAATCTACCTTGGAGGATCACAAAAAGGCAAAATGATTACTCGCATGAGATCAGATACTCTCTGACGGGGAGTCGAACCCCGGTCTCCCGCGCATTGCCAGATGATGACAAGCGGAAATCATGACCGTTAGACCATCAAAGATGTTGTACATGTTGTATATGAAAGATAGAGCAGTCTATCTACATATCCTTTCAGTTCTGGAAGGCTAAAGTGGGGTAGTTATCTGGACATCCATTCCATTTGGAACTAGATCTTGAACCTTGTGGCAAGAATTCAAGAGTTCTAGACCTAATAAGTAGTTGCTGTTGCATTACCACAAAGTCTAAAAAGCATATGCCTTACACGTTTAGGGATTATATGCTATCACCATTGCCTAGGTAACCACATATGCACAATCTTACATCCCATAAAGTTCCCTCCTTCCAACAATCATGAGCAGTAGCCTCGCATACGCTTTTTGAACGAGACTGAATGCCTCTCATGTGATCCATCGTTATAAAGCTTCAAAGTCAAGGCAAAGCTTTTCCTGAACAATATGGACTTGTAAGGAAATCGTACATATATGTAAAAAACCGTTAATGAGAATTTAAAACCACATGCACCGCCGACATCGATAAAAAGACACAGCTACTGTATTCAATACGTCTACGAAACTCTCTAGACCAGTCTCACTGTATCTCACCATCCCAAGCATCGTCTTCCAAATCTTTGTCCTTCGCGGTATGGATACTTTCGACTATCTAATTATCAATTTCATCTCATCCACCATTGTTCTTCTATTAAGATTCTAACGTTTTCTTTTTACGATACTTCCAAGTTCCAACATAGATAAGCCAGTCCCCATTCTTCTGCTTGTGTATGATTTTCAAATTCCTATTGTGCAACAACTCATAGAACTAGCTGTGTATGTCATTCCAGAAAGATAGAAATTACTGATGTGGAAATCGGAAACAGTACATACAATCTCATCCTACTTAACCAATCGAGAATCATCACTCTCTTTCTGAATTCCGAGGAATATCATATTGGAAATATGGAGCAACGTTTATGAGAGAGAAAGCAGAAATTATAGGCAGGTAGGTTGATAAATTCTTTCTACATAGATCGTTTTATCGTGTTGGTAACCCCAAGTTGATATAAATGAGAGATTACTGTATATACTATTCACATCTCTATCATTTAAAATCGATGCTCTCCCACACAAGTTTCCACACTCAGTCTAAATCCTCATCTCAGTATCGCTGCTCACAACCTTCCCTCATCTTATCACAAATCTTCAACTCCCTACAAACCACAATCGTAAGCTCATAGCATACTTCACATTCCCGCCTCGACTGTCTGTCCAACAGCCAATTTCAAAACCTGTTTATCATCCGAGTGAGTAGTTTCATATCCCGGTTCTAGACCAGGCTCAGATGGTTTGACTGGCTCGGATCCGTAATCTTTGGGTGTTTCAACTGGAACATGTTCGCGGAGGGCGAGATAGGTTGTTGGCAGGCAAATTACTAATATCCGGTTAGTGAATGGAGGTATTAGGGCAGGGAAAGGGAATGAGAGGATAGTGGAGGGAATGCGTAATGGGAGTGGAGATAGTAAGAGGGAAAGCAAAGGGTAGGTACGAGGAGAATAAATCTGCTGAAGTAGGGAGATGAATAGAAAACGCACCAAGTAAGATAGTATTCACACCCATTGGAACACGACCTCTATACCAATCTCTCGTGTTGATACCGAAAGAGACAGCTTGGGCGAAGCTTTCTTGGCCGCGCAGGATTCCTGTAAAGCGTGCTTTGTAATTGTTAGCATCATACTGAGACGACCAGACTCAAATTCCTGAGAAAGCAGCTCGGAATGAAAGCTTAACGTACATAATTCTGAAATATTATCTTTTTTTGTGGATACGAAATAGTAGAGCCAATTTTGCAGCGACTGTTGTGAGAAAGCTGTTGATGGCGCGTATCATTAGCAGGTAGTTCTTTCTGATCATGTAGGTAGTATTGCCGTGGAAAGGTTTGAAGAGAGGGCTACCCACACCATAATAAGATGACAAAAAACCCCTTTGTGAATTCTCCATCGGTCCAATCGAGATCAGGTTGTTCGGCACCGAATTTCTCATTGAAAACCCAAGCGTATATCCAAGCTACGATATGCCAGAAAATCACGTAGTAGAAACTTTTTATACCTGTTAGTAGACGGAATTTGATGGATCTTGAAAAGTTTGGCTGGTAGAAAGCGAAGAGATTGGACGGTAGACATACCCGATGTTAAGGCGTTGCTTGACTGAGATTTTCTTGTAATCAAGTAGCGTACTCATGATTTGTGATGCGAACAAATTGGCAAAATTTCCTGTTCATCGTTAGAACTGTGAAAGGAGCAGAAGTGCTAAGATTTGGGAATTAGGACTCATACCGACAAAGCCAATCAAAGCTCTAGCACGAACTCCGAAGTAATAAACCTCATAATCTAAAGGATGTCAATTCTAGACTCTCGAATTTTAAGATGGGGGGTTCAAGGACTTACTTCCAGAGTATTGATTAAAGTATGCAGCCCAAAAGACAAGCAATAGGAGTAGAATCTTCAATGAAGTTAGTATAGTCCATAGCAGAGAGTCTATCGGGTAAATATACATCGCGTCTTGCACATGTTTTAGTGAGCGCTTTGATCTCTGCCTTGAAAGATTTTTCATGTACAATCTTGATTTTCGATCCATCTGATCTTTGGGCCTGGCAAAGTCAGCAAATTATACCTGGACTATATCTTGAATTAACCGACCTTGTCCGGAGGAGAGAGTGCAAGAGCTATGAAAGCAGCTAGACATTGAAGGGTAATGAAGATAATGTACACAGCTATACGGCACATTAGTACTTTTCCAGAAAGCAAACTTCAAAGAGAATATCAAGAGTCACTCGCCGTACCCAACCTTTCCCTTTTTCTTTTGGTTGCTCGCACTAATGTCTCGTCAATAAGAGCCACAAAGTATGAGATATTCAGACATCACGCACTGATTAAGACCCAAAACAATAGCACCACCAACAAGCGGTCCTCCTGTACGAAACCACAACCAAATACTATTTTCATTAGCTCATCTCTCGTACATCTCGAGACAATGGATTCCACTCACTTCATATATTTTCCTCTTTTTGCCGGTTCCGGATATCCCAACGCAACTGCCCCCTCTGAAGCCCAGAATAATCCTACACTGAACACGATATCATGTCAGTTGATCTATGCTATATCAAGCTAGTGTTCCCCAAGCTTATGAAATTCCACAAGTGACAGCTCCAACGAGAACCAGCCAGACAGTTCCATATCGATTGTTTGCATATAAACCAGCCCTATGCTTCATTAGCACTTCTCCTTGTTGAACTCGAAGGGAAAGGAGAAAACATACGAATAAACTGGATATCCCACTGCTCCAAGTGTCAATGTATATTTCAATCCTATCCGATTCGCAATTGGTCCTCCTAGTACACAAAATATTCCCACTTCACATCGAATATTAGCAAAGTTTCCAAGGTCCAATCTCCTCCCCAGAAACATAAATCAAGACCAATTAAGACTTGAAGAAACATGGGTGAGGAACATACTCAAACCAAAAACCAATGCATTAGCAGCATTAACCAAAAACGGCGATTCCGCACCTCCAGCACCTAGAGAAGACATCGCATTCCACATTCCTGGGGCCAGAAACCCTACTGCGCCTATTACAAAGGCATTGAAGAGCGATGAACGATACCATAGTTTTTTCTCTGGCTGCTGTTCCGACGGCGGTTGATCTAAGGAAGTCATGACTGCTACAGCCTGCGAGCGAGGAGAAACCGAGAATTATGACAGAGAGAGAGGGATATCGAATACGAACGTCGTAGCTGGACGGAAGGATATATATCTCTACCCCAACATCTAGCTCAGTAGGTAGCTACTGAACCAATATTGAATATTACCTCATCACATATACGGATTTTTCAATAGCCATGTTCATATTGTTGGAATCAGTATCCAGCTTCCTTTCTAGTCGTGAATCTCACTTGGCTACAAAGCTGCTTTTGATAGAATAAGAAGATTGGTTTTATATATGCTACAGAATCACCTCCATCGAAGAATTGCGTGATGGCATAAAATAAAGCAGCAATACATTTTCAGATGTACATTCAATGCGAATTTGACGCAGGTATGGCGAATGATGCTCATCATACATCCTAGTCTGTAAATCCCGACGTTGAGCCGATGATACCCAGCTAAAAAATTACATATTATCCACATTGGAGAAGATGGCTCGAGAACAAATGAGATATACACTACATATATATAGGTATATATATATATATATATGTTGAGAACCTGGCACCAGATTGCTTGATGTGTTCTAGATTATCATCTGTTTGTGCGAACTTAAGATCACCATATAACAATGTGCAAAAATGTTCATCCCAGCCAATTATCCTCCGCACAACTTTCAAGTACTACGAAATTCTTTGCTCAATGATATTTGTGTAAATCTCATTTGCAGGATTGTTTATCCTGGGAAATGTTGATGTGAACAGACCTAGATGTTCTAGGTTCTTGGTGGACTGATATCATTTGGCACATTCAAACCATATGGAATATTCAACGCGGGTTGGAAATTCATACCATTTTGGAACACTGAAATCATTTGGCACATTCAAACCACTGGGTATGCTCAAAGCAATTTAGACATTCAACCCACGTTAGAATGCTGAAATCATTTGGGACATTGAAACCATTTCAATATATTCAAATAAGTTGAACATTCATACCAACTACGACATTCAAATCAATCATAATACTCAAATCCATCCATTATATGTTTCAGATGCAAAAGCATCGATACAAAGTATTAACACTTAAAATCCAGCAGGATTCCTAATCAGCTCAATATCCAGCTACAGCTAAACATCTCCCCCAAGAAATCTTCACTTTCTCTTTCCAGCCTCCGATTCATCTCCATCAACAAAATTATCATCAAGCTTAAGGTCCTCCAAACTCCTAGTAGGAATAACGCTGGTCTCCCTCCTAAACGACACAGTCTTGCTCTCAGCGCCACCAAGAGCCGTCTTGACAGAATCCGAAGCTCTTCTCTTAGTTCCCCTAAACTCAAATGTTCCACCACCATGGTTTTCAGTAAGATCACCAAGTTCCGTATTCTTAGTGATACTCTCATCGGCCTTACGCTTAGTAGGAGTATTGAAAGCGCCTGATCCCTCCACACTTCTAGTATTGGCAGGTTCAGGAAGAGAGAATTCAGGGATCTCTTCGATGAGTCGAACTTGGTGCTTACGACGTTTGCTCGAAGTATGAGGAAGACCGCGGAGACCCAAAAGTATACCATGCTCGATGGAAGCATAGAAATTTGTGTCGTTGTCGCGGTTTGCGTTGGAAGAGGAGCCGTAATTCGACATTGGTTGAAGAAAGTAGATTGATGAGCTCTTTCTACCCATTGTTGCGGTAGGAAGGTTGGGGTTGTCGGAGGTGATGGGTGAGATGACTGGAGCTGGGGGTGGTTTGGGATTCGACATGTTGGCTTGTTGCTTTGTGATAATTTATTGGTATTGTTGTTGTTTCTGGTGTGGTAAAACTGGTTTCAATGGAGTGAGATATGAAAGAAGTGTGTAGGATATATTGAGTGCGGCTAGGGACTGCGGCTTGCTCGAGATTGATTGACTGTGGCTAGAACGATTGTCAGGGTCAACTTTAGCTATCTTATATTAACTCAATCTTGCCTTGGTGTGTTGTGATATTGTTGGCTTGTAGATCTGGATATTTATAAATGCCCAACTTCAATGGATATAATGTTGTGTGTCGTGATGGTAGTTTGGTTGTTGTTGTGGTATAAAGACATCAATATTTTATAGTATAGAAAATGAGACCTGATGTTCCTAAAAAGTATGAATGTGGAAGAATGAGAAAGAGTTGACTTGGTGTGCCTTGTTAAACCCTACTTAAGGTTTGGTTCACAAGAAAAGGCAGAAATGGTTTGTTCACGAGAGTGAATGATATCATTTTGTTCCATCCATTGCCATAGTGCTCACTAAGAAAGTGCCGACCTTCTAGTCCCCAAATTTCGACATTTGGAGGTTGAGAGCCCCATAACGAGAACAGAAACAACTTCGATACGATAGAAGTATGCTAATATCGATAGCACTTCCTTCGAATGTAATTGGTCTTCCAGTGCCATCCAATGCGCCACTTGCAATAATATATGAGGCTTCATTTTTGCCTGCATTACTGGAAGAATCGAAATCCAGAACCTTATTCTCCCAACTCCAAACCATAATGCAAATACATAGGTAATACACGATCCCCCGATCCACGGCTTTACTAATGATTCCGAAAATTCTTTTTTCTACACCAAAGGTGTTAATATATTAATTTGACCGCATCTTGAGACAGGGGAAAACTTACTGATAGAATAGATCCGTCCTACTACTACCCAGATTGATAATCTTCGGACATCCATCGCGGTCTTTCTCTAATCTTGTACACTCGAAGCAATAGAAAGCGTCTGAAATGCCTTCACCTCCACACACGACACATTTGTTTTGATAGTTTCCGAAACTACACTCTTCGCAGATGCGTACGAGAGTTGTGGGACGAACGTAGGAATCGCATACAGGGCACTTTCCATCGCATTTATCGCAGAGACGTCCGATAGCGATACCGGATTGCTTTCTGCACATTACGAGATCTCTAGAGGTAGGTTAGTAGCTGTAGTCTCAAAGTAGATAAGATTTGTACATACGGATGATGGCGAGACATGTTTAAGTATCTCTATAGATATGAAGCTGTAGGTTATCTTGTACAGTTCTCAAGAGCAGAGGTAGTTCAATTTTGAAAATTGCCGTAGTTGGAGAAGAGATGGTTATCTGAAGAGCTCAAGATCTTTATTATTGATATCACCGCCACCAAAATATCGAGCTTTCGTTCTTTGATTTCTAAGCACTGACCACCACGCTAGTACCGACAGGGATCTCTCAATACATCGCATATCCAGGTCAGTATCGCATGTGAATCAAATGGACGTGACTGAATGCTTTAAACAATTACATTTAATTTTCTACTTATCTGGTCGACATCATTTCGAAAAGGTCTACTAATAAATTCAAGGTGATGGTAACAAATATGACAGACACACCAGCGTGAGTAAAAAAACTCTAGTCATATCATGAAGGCTTACTAATAAAAGATAGACCCGTGGCATCTGCAGTTGTCGTTCCTAAACAAGATGCGCCAAACGTTAAAAGTCCCCGCAGGAAGCGTCGACAATCATCCGTGTCCGAAGATGCTTCTAAACGTCTCCGAATCTCCACCGAAGACAGCGCCATCTCTACATCCACTCTACATTCCTCTTCACAAGCTTTAGATTCTACAAAGCTTGAATCACCTGGAAAGAATCAACCTCTTGCTGTTTCACCAGAAGCCGCGAGAAATGGTCGTTCCGAAAGAAGAAGAAGTAGTGTTCAAGAGGAACGCAAGCGCGGCCAAAGATTATTTGGAGGCTTGCTGAATACTCTTAATCAAAGTACACCAAATGGACAACAGAAAAGGCGACAAGAGATCGAAGCACGACAAAAGGAGAGAGCCGCGCAACGAAAAGCTGAAGCAGAAGCTAGGAAGAAACAGAAGGCAGCGAGTCTTCAAGCGGTACGAGTGGTTGAGCAAGTGAAATTTCAGGAAGAATCGGTTAGTGATTTCTGAAAAAGGGAGGAGACAAGACTGATAGGTTTCTGTAAAGATGCGAATGCGACATTCGAATATGTTAGCTATAGCCCAGTTTCTTTCTACAGAAACAGAGCCAAAACTGGTAAGGACTATACTTCTACTCATTTCGGTTATGGTTGCTGATCCATCAAGTATTACAAACCATGGCAACTATCACCCAACAATGAAGCCAGAATCAAGACCCAAATCAAAGAAGTAGAGATGTTGATTGAAGAAGAAAAGTCCCAGTGGGCGAGTAAACATCCAGAACAAGATCCAAAAGCTGATGGGGAATCTGAAGTAAAGGTGACGTCTGATGTGATGATGGGTGAGCCTCATGTGGAGTCTCCATCTAATCCTAACATTGATACTACTAATCCAATCTCTACACTTGTTGCTCAGTCTTCACAGGTCAAGACTGAGAAAGATAATTTGGAAGAGCATAATGGTGAGGTAGTAGTAGAAGCAGAGGAGGATACTGTTATTTACTGATTGCTCTAAATGAATGGGTTAAGGAGTTTAGCTTGCCGGAAAATGCTCAAATGGTATTTAGGTGATGGTGTGGTGTTTTCAGGAGGTCAATGATATCCCACGCCAGCTTGTACTCTAGACCTGGCTATATTAAAATGTTTCTTTTCTCTTCACCGTTACTTGCAATCAACTGATGTAAGAGACTATATAAGTACCGGCCGCCAAGCCTACGACACTCAATACCTAGGCACAAGATGATATTCGGAGACACCGAATGTGGGACCAAAGTGGAATGCGACGCCATGAACAAATGGGTTGTCTCTCCATAATCAATCCTCGGAGTACGGAGTACACGACACATTGCCATGATGTGTTATGCGTTGCAGCAACGACTAATCAGTCGTTTGTTACCCAATTTTTATCGATTTGAACCGAGGCACGGCGATTGGTGGGGCAGCCTTGTTGTTTAAAGGGCCGACGTTTCCCACATCAGCCTCGTTTGAGATACTTTCATTTTTGACTTGTGTTCATTACATTTCACTTCAAACATATATCAAAATGGTCGATAAGCTTGCAGTTCAAGACTCTCGAGTCCAATATAAATCGGCTGATTTGAACGGAAGAACTTACTCGTATATTCTTGCCGAACCTCAAAATGGTGCCGAACCAGTTGCAACCATCTTCTTGATTCACGGAGTAAGCATTCGATTTCCTTTCTGAATTGTTGTACTGCTCCAATATTCAATCGAGAGTCAAATCACCAAGAAGCTTCTCAAAGCTTCAATCATTGTGTTACAAAAGTATACTAACTTTCATCTAGTTCCCTGACATGGCATTCGGCTGGAGATATCAAGTCCCCGCTCTCCAAGCTCTCAACTACCGCGTCGTAGTCCCCAACATGCAAGGCTATGCCACCTCTTCCTCCCCCCAAGAACTCAGCGCTTTTACCTACAAAACTGCCGCTGACGATGTTGCCGCTCTCGCAAAGGCCATCGGTGCCACATCTATCATCCTCGGAGGTCACGATTGGGGTGGAGCTGTCGTCTACCGTATTGCTCTTCATTATCCTAAACTCATCACTGCAGTCTTCAGCGTCTGCACACCTTTTTTCCCTCCTCAACAAAAATATATTCCCATGACCGTCCGACCAAATTTCAAATATCAATTACAATTCCAGGGTCCGGATGTTGAGAGGGAAATCCAAGGAAAGGAGAAACTGAGAGCGATGTTGAATGGGCTTTATGGTGGCCGATCCCCAGAGAAAGAACTTGGATTTTCTGTCTCCGAGGGTGTTCTCTTCCAGAATCTAGAGAAACTTGGTCCATCTCCTCTTTTGTCCAAGGAAGAATTAGATCACTACGGAGAACAGTATGCGATTAATGGAATCAGAGGCCCATTGAACTGGTATCGCACTGGCGAATTGAATTTTGAAGATGAGAAGGAGTTGGCGGAGGAATTCCACAAGGAGAATGGATATAAAATTGAAATTCCTACCATGTTTATTGGAGGATCGAAAGATGCGGCATTACCACCCGCTATGGCGGAGAACATGCAACAATGGTTCGGAGAGGGAAAGTTGAGAAAAGAGGAAGTTGCTACGGGTCATTGGGCTCTGTGGGAGAAGCCGGAGGAGGTTAATGCCTATGTTAAGGATTTCTTGACGAAGGTCGCAGGGGGACAAAGTCATCTTTAAATGGAGATGTGAGTGGAGGATAGAAATTCAGATCGAAATGGAAATTACTAGTTAAAGCATTTAGTAGTAAAAATGCCATTTTGCTTTCAATTGTACTCTGCGCCGGCTCTTACTTGTGATAGCTACCTACGTACCTAGGAGGGATTTATGCACATGGTCCAAGCTTCCAAGCACTGCGAGACGAAGATTTCGCCGTGTGAAATGAAGGGGTTCCAATAATCATCCGAAAATTTATTTAAATTTAGTGTTTCTAGGTACTAGGTAGGTAGCTATCTCACCCGACTTTCTCCTCTATCATATCAAAATACTTTACGTTAGGAATAGATCAGGTGATATGCCATATCTATCCTGGTACCTACCTAGGCACTTTCAACTCCTCAAAATACCGCAATGTTAGCGTTTATCGCGGAACATTATATAATACAAAAATACATATACCTAAATATACATATATATACATATACATGTACCTAAATATACAATCTAATCCAATCTAATCCAATAGGATATAAATGTAAGAGAGAGGTAAGGGTATCATTCTGAGCTCGCTCGCTCGCTCGCTCGCTCACCCGTTCCATCGGATCTGAAACCTTTTCTGGCGACTATTAATAATATGGTGCTGAGTACTGCAGGTGTGTTGCTGAGTTACAAATCTTGGAAGTACCTACCGATTAATAACTACCTAGTAGGTATGTATTTGGGGAGTGAAGGGAAGGGAAGGGAAGGGAAGGGAAGGGAAATAAGGGCTCGTTCGAATCGATTTTTTTATTTTATTGATGAAATCTCTAATAATAATAAAATGGCAAGGGATTTGAAATATTGAAGCTAATATATATTTGGATGAAGCTAATATATTTGAAATAATATTGGGACGTGTAAGGTTGAGTTGAAAATGAAGAAGATAATACTTTTTCTTAAATATATTCGTTCAACTATACCTCAAAAGCTGCTGTTGGTTATTGTATAGGAAAGATTGAGAAAATTTGTTGTATTTGTCACTTTAAGATTATTAAACTCAATATTTTATTAGATCTAATATTGTATTTAGTAAATGTATTTATTTAAGCCAATATATATTAAACTTAATATTATATTCGGTAAACACTATATTAGATCTAATATGTCTAATATATTGGTCTAATATCAATTTTTTTTTTTGATCCGAACGAGCCCTAAGACTGTGTAGATGGATAGTGTGATATATTATATATGAAGGAGATTGGAGATGGGAGATGGGAGATGGGAGTGAATGAGTGGGTGAGTGAGTGGGTGAGCGAATGAGTGAGTAGTGAGTTGCACTAGGTACCTAGGTAGGTAGAGTGAGGGATGCAGGAGAGGTGGGAGGGAGGAGGGAGGAGGTAGGGTAGGTTATTTTTGTGTATTTGGGCTTGCTGTGTGTGTATTGTGTGATGTGTGATAGTGATAGTGATATCTGGGTTTGTAATGTATGTCTGTCTTTTGTGGGTGTGTACACCTTGAGGATTGGATTGTGAATTTGTGAGGAGATGATATGTTTTTACCATGAGTACTAGGTAGGTAGATAGGTACTAGGTACTGGGTACTAGGTACTGGGTACTAGGTAGGTATCTCGGCAGGTAGATTACTCTGTATGCGGATAGAGGGGGAGTGAGTGGATGAGAGAGGGATTGGAAATATATGAGTGGCTATCTACCGAGTAGGCAGGTAAGGAGAAAGAGTCGAGGCTCAACGGACTACGAAGCAGAAGTGTTTAGGTAAAGAATGTAAGAAAGATGAATCATTGAATCATGTGGTACCATGAGGAAGGATGTCCACGGGTATTAACGTCACCTTTTTTCTTCGATACAGTCGAGCCTCTCTCGCTCACCAGAGATCCATTGGTGGGGCCCGGGGCGTAATGAAGCTTTGAAGCTTTGGATCCAGCCACACATTAGATATTATATGTCTATGGATCCATCCTATCTCAAGCCACCTAGTCCGAGGTTATACTGTACTGTGACTCTTGTCTGTAGACAAAGTTTCCCCTGAATGATATTGATGTGATCTGATATGCTATGGTTCAAACCTTCTTTTCCATGTCCGGCATTCACATCCGATGCAAATAACCCTTTACTCTGTCTGTACTGTGGAAACACAGTCAACTTCCATCCAGCCATCCAGCCATCCAACCATCCAGCCACTCTCCATTCAAATCACGTTCATGTTCACGTTCACATACCGATAGCAAATACATACCATCCCATACCATCCATACCATCCATACATACTGCACACTTCCAACACCGAATCATCTCTCACCACCACCACACACCCATCCAAGGCTTCTTTATCTAATTCAATAGATACCGTATTGGATCGCTTAATTAATGCTCCCACCAGACCAAGTTAGCCTCTTCCCTCTCCTCCTCTTGTTTTTATTCTCATTGAGTGTACCCGTGGACCGACCGACTAGAAGTAGAAAGTTAGAAGGCTGTCAAGTTTAATTTATTAATTATTATCTTTCATCCATCCATTCAAACCTAAAACCCGAAACCCAAAATCCCTTCTAATCAAAACGCTTCTTCAACCATTCCACCACAGACTGCTACCGTACAATCAATCAATCCATTCATCCATCCATCCATCCATCAATCCATCAATCTATCTACCTACCAACCCACTCATTCAATACCTACCTACCTAAGTAACTACTCGACCGACAATTCTTACTTCAATCAAAACCACCGCCACCACCACCACAACTTTCTCAAATATAAATTCAAACAAAAAATATAACAATTTAAAAAACTTGTCAATTTACTCCAAATTGATTTTCTTTTGATTTTTTTGTTCTTTGATTCATCACTTAATCCTACTACTTTCATGAATTTCTCCTATTTCCAGCCAATCCGCAAAGTACATGAGGCGAAATGACAGACGCATGCATTGTATGTTTGGAAGATCTGGAGGTGGTAGAGGTCCAACAGCAAGAAGACGAAAAAGTTGGGGTTCCGGCTCCCGTCCCAGCACCCAGTTCAGTGGTGCAAGACCCCCAATCCCAATCCCATTCCCCTTCCCCAGAGGCTCTGGAGCTCGCGAGGGGCAACGCCGGCAAAGAACCTGATTTCGAGCATCTGCAGCGTCGACAATGTATTTCTTCGGGGAAGAGTAACGGTAACGGCAACGGCAACGGTAATGGTAATGGTAACGGTAACAATGCTTTATGCGTGGCTCAGATTAAACCGTGTGATCATGTTTTGCATGATCATTGTTTGAGGGAATGGAGTCAGAAGGCTAATAGTTGTCCGATTTGTCGGGCGAGCTTTAATTTGGTCCTGGTACTGGATGGAGTTGGAGGTAAGCTAAGCATTTTATTTTCTTTTTCATTTTCGAGGGCGACATTTGCTGTCTTTTTATACTGCGACGGGGAGATGTCATTCTTGAGCTTCTGGTTGGGTACATTTCTGGTGGTCTTTGACGAACTGAAATGCCTTTTGCGATGATGTAATTTCGATTTCTT